TGTCCAAAAACCAAAAAATTAAAATTTTTGTATATCTCAAAAATGGCTCTACTTTATTTTTTTCTGACCACGGCATTGAATTCAGCGTAGGATTTTGCATTGGAAATGATCATCACCTTACCGAGTTCAAAAATGCTGTAAACTAGTGTTATTGAACCAAACCGGATATTTGGAGGAATAATTGCGTCATCTCCTTTTTAATGGAATTTCCTCGTGAATTACTTCAAACAAAATGTTATAAAAACCTCCACTGAACATTCAACATGTACCTGATCCTTCAAAATGGTTTTCCAATTGTCCATTGAATTTATTTTTAATATTATCATAATTAGCATTTTTGTAGTCGAACACATTTTCATACTCACATTTGTTGGGGTGTTGACTGTTATGAACAAATATGGAATACTCGATTGCTGTGTGAAATGCTTCATTCTTCCATAAAGAAGAAATAGATTTACTTACACAGAAATCTTCATGTATATTCATTAACAAGAAATCTAGGAAACAATTCTGTTGGTTTCTTACATGGTTTATTTGGTTTAATCCTAAAAACGCATTTTTTTTCAAAAATAAATTGTAATGTTTCGTTTTCCCCAATGACTGGGAGAAGAAAACTCTCATTATCTGAATCAGGAATAAAATCAGCATTGCGTTGGTTGAAATCTCCATAAATATGAATTTTGAATTCAGGGGGAAATTGAAATACGATTTCTTCAGCTATTTGGAAAAGGGTTTCATACGAGGACTTACAAGCGTAGTCTGGGGGAAAATAGACTGTGGCAAAAATATGAGTTTCACCAGCTATATTTGCCTTTACCCACACATGCTCAAATTCTTTTACTTTCGATGAGACAATAAGTTCTGCAATAAGTTTTGAAGAAATAGTAATAAGAACTCCACCGCCTGACATTCTTTGGGTTTCGAGTAAGTCACGATCATCTCTGAAAACATTATAATCATTTCCAAAAGTTTCCTCACTTTTAACGTTCTCGTTCCAACTAGTTTCAGTGCCCAAAATAACTGAAAAAGAGGAGCTCAGTATATTTTTTTATAAATATAAATTTATACATCCACGTACCAAACATTGATTGAAAATGAATCTGAAATGCAATTTATCCACTTACAGTCTATTTTTCAATGTTTCTTGATTTCGTTCCAAGTGATTGCTTTATGTTGAATCACTTTGTTTCCTGGAAAATGTATGAATCTCTCTTTTATTTACACCTGCCTTCGATGCAGCATTGATAACATCACGAAATAAGATGAGGATTTCCTTTGAAAATGAACCTGTAAAGTCGATGTAGTTTACCAGTTTGCCAAGACAAGAGTTTTCTTACATATTTCAAGGGTTGTTTCAAATTAGATCTGTGCGGGTCTTACGAAAATTACAATTTAATACTAAATTTCATGTATTTCTTCGCAACTTTTCACAATCATCATCATTTTTCAGTAGCGATATTCGACCTTGAAAATGATAGTTAAAAATTGGTATACTTCTTCTTAAACGTCTCCTTGATTTGAGCCATTGTTCCTGTAATATACAGGTTGATACAAAAGAATGCATGGCGTGGGAGTATGACCGGAAACAACTTCATTTTACTAGAAAGTAAGTAACATATCATTGATTATATTTAATTCATCAATCGGGTGGCGGCGAAATCATCAGCAATCAACCCGTTTGATAAACCGACTAAATTAGGTGGCTCGTTAGTAGATTAGTGATGTACCGACTAATCGGATTATGTACTAGCATTTAGTCGATTTGTCTACTGTTTTATCAGCAGACGCCCCTTATGAAATCACATATAATACGTCGATGGAACAATCATCATTCGATCCATTGAAAGTCGGTCGATCATGCCGACGCGAACCAACTTAATCTTGGGGAAAATTGGGAGGATTTTATATGATGTGGACACATAATTGTCCCACGTGGTATGGAATTTCATATACATATGGGACAATTATGCTTCCAGCGGCAGTGTAGGAACCTTCTGTCAAACTACATGGCAAAAACAACATTTGAAAAGGGCATACACGCTTTTTGTAAACAAACCTTCTTATGCCCTTTTCTCGCTACCCATGACACCCACGCAAACCATCAACATCACCCGGTAGGGGAAACTTTCCCCTTGCCGATAATGTTGTTTGCGTGGGCGGCCCTCGGTTGCCGAGAAAAGGGCCTACAAAGGTTTGTTTTAAAAAAGCCCCTGCGCTTTGGTCAGAGAGCGTATAGGGCGTCGTTGTGCCAATTTGGTCGTGGCACATTACGAGTATGAGAGAGTGATTGCAGTTTGCTCAAAAGTGCCTGAGTAAAATGCAAGTATTTTCGATGATTACCCGTAGTTGTTACAGTGAAGATATACACCCATATTCTCGTTTATGTCTGGACGTGTTTGCCATACAGAAACATTTTTATTTGATTTTGTGTGGTGGATGGGTTTCGGGCGTGGACAGGCATATGGGTGATAATATTAAGTTTACGTTAGGATAACGTTGAAATATTGAGAAATGTATCGCTTCAGTTTAAGAAGCACTTCACTTCGCAACCGATGAACCATTCTGACGGCCCACATTGTGTTGGCAGGGTCCAATATTGAACAGTTTGACGTTTATAAAGTACCATCAGTTAAAACTGTATTTTTGAACTTTATCTCTATACATTCTTAGATGTTTCTTAGTAGATTATCATGTTGGTGTAAGCTGATTCAAAGAGTAAATGGTATTAACATTGAGCTGTCCATAGTTGGGCGTTGTTGAACCTCTGGTACTTGCACAACATTTCATGTGAATACCAAAGTAACCATATAATCACAAAATAGCTTTAGGTGTGGGTTCAGAGTGGTACAATGTCACTGAGATATGGTTAGTCGGGTATTCAGATGAAACTATTACTTTAAAAAACTAATCCTGGTTGTATCTCTTTTTCGTTTTTTCGTTTGCATGTAACACTGTTTGATATTACTAACCGCACCGTGCCTTCATTCCGGGTGGTGAGCGAACCTGAAGAAGAAGAAGAAGACCATAAACCCCTTGTTTTGTTAGTGGACCTGGTCTGCGATTCAAGGTTGGACTCTGTGATGATAAGTATCACATAACAGGTAAAGTAGGCAGCATCATCTTTATCGAAATGTAAGTACATATTATTGACAATAATCATAACTAGATTATAGGCAAATTTATATGATAGGTACCTGGATCAACGTTGTTTAAACATGCGCATTCAATCGTGACGGCTAATATATACATATATCAATTTAAGTCAAATATATATATATATATTCTATAAAATTACTCACTATAAATTTCATGCATTGTTTCTTCTCATTGTAGACAGCGAATAACGAATAGCGAGCAAGGGCGCTATAACCTAGGCGAATACAGCATTCCCTCCGTATGGGTTACGTCCGCACACCGCTCTCTGTTGTCCTTCGACTGAGGTCGACTGAGGTCCACGCTTGTACGGAGGGAGGACTGTACGCTCGAACACAAGGGGTAAATACCTGTGTTCCATCCCAGGAGATCGGACAACCAAGGAGTGTACATTAACTTTCTTAGCTCTGTCACTCCCAACGATTTATATAGCCTATTTTCAAATCCTGCATACGGAGCGGTTGGTACGGTATGTCCCCGCTCTTTGATTACCTGTGGATTAAATGTTAACCGCTGTCTATACTTATTAAGTAGACATGGTAAACATTCACTTCCACAAAAATTAACTAAACGCTACACAGTAGGCCTGGCCGCTTTATTGTTTGTTTCACATCCTTGATGTGCAGCAGGCATTAATAATGACAAGAAAAATGATAGATGTATCATTTTCCAGGATTCTTTCAAGTACTGGCTGTGTATGTGTAGACTGTAGACTAGACTACAAAGGTTTGTTTAAAAAAGCTTGTGGCTCATGATGGGACAGATAGGAAATGGGTACTCCCGTGACCTTGACTGCACGGCGAATGAGAACGACCAAATTTGAGTTTAGTTTACTCATAATCGCCAAAAGTGCAGGAACTCTGCGATGAGCAAGCCTCATGTTTTTCTGAGGAGAACCTAAAAAATCTACCGGAAAATAAGAAAAATTGACCAAAAATTTAACTCAGTCTAGGAGTAGTACCAAAAGACTGAGTGGATCTAATCTTTGCTTTTCTCATATTCGGGAATTTGTTCCTGGACACACCTGGAAAAACATGAGGCAAATTTACTCATCACTGAGTTCCTGCACTTTATGTGACTTAGGGTTAATGCTTATTTTTTCGGCATTTATTATATTTTCGCACTGGTCATAAGATTTAAATATTGAACTTCTTAAAGTCTTCTAGAGCTCGAATCAATTAGTGTAATTAGTCAATACTGTTCTAAAGTTGCTAGTGCTTTTAAAGAAATCGATTTTTAATTATTTGGCTTATGTAAAAATACGACTGTGCAATTTGCAGAGACGAAATAGCCCCCGGCCGAAAGCACCTTTAAGAAATCTAATCTAATCTGTGCAATTTTTGCTTTTGCGCAGGAGTCTAAAGTGGTGCAAAATGCGCAATATTATTCAAAACTAATTAGTAAATAAATAAAGCTACCCGTATGTTAAGCACAATTTAAACAATACAAACATTAAAAGTTGTTTGCAAGCAAATTTCGTCGGACTTTTATCCTAACCTATCAAATCGGGGGACTTGTTTTACCCGACCCCATTTTATTCACGTTCGGTTATGAACGCAAATTTGCCGATCACATTCATAATAGAACCATCACCTCCGAAATCCTCATCACTCTCAATTAGTACATAATCGCTAAATTGTGCATTACAATTCATAACGAATTAGCGAGAATAGCCTCGCTAAATAATTGCAAGATTACATAACCAGCAAAAACGGCCAAAAGTTGGGCTTGCTGCAGTATCTATCAGTGAGAAAAATTTTCTTCCGACGTTGTGTAATCCCCTACTGTTGCGAAATTCCAGATCAGATTTTTTCGCTAGCTCCGATAAAAAAAACCAGATCACTTACCGCGGACAGGGCACTCTTGGCCAGCATCGATGGTAAGCGTAACATTCCGCTCATGGGAGATCAGTCGTTCGTTATCACAAAACACACCAGATATTAGCTGATATTCACACGGTGCTTCTCAAAAACTCTAAAATTATCCACCCGCCGCCGCACAGATCCACTACTCGCGAAGGAAGAGCCAAGAGACGTGAACGCGTGTGTGTATGCACACTGGCTACGAAAAGCGTACAGAAAGGCAAAAGTGGAAAGGCCGATTGACAGCCGTCGTCGTCACAAAGTGCTGTGTAACAACAACAAAATAACACAAAATGTGAGTGACTGTGGAGGCGTTACGTTCTATGTGTCATTTTTCGACATTCTCGATTATTTTTTCGGATGGACGTATCAGCTTTTGTAAATAATGTATTATTCTGGATCAACAATAGAAAAGGGCCCATAAGCATTTGTAAACAAACCGTTCGAAAGCCTTTCCGCATAAAGCAAAGGCCGCCCACGCAAACGAACACCATCATCGTGTAGGGGAAACTTTCTCCTCTCCGATGATAGTGTTGGTTTGCGTGGGTGGCCTTCGCTTTGTGAGGAAAGGGTTTTAAAACGGTTTGTTTACAAATGCTGATGGGCTCTTTTCTATTGTTGATCCAGTTGATCGTCAATATGGCGAAACTGGTAGCTCGCCCACGCATAGTAACACCACTATCCGGTAGGGGAAATTTCCCCCTATCTGATAGAAGGGTTAGTATGCGTGGTTGAGCTACACAGCAAAAAAAGTTGTTGAATATTACATCGAAACTGCTGCAACCAGGTCAATCCATCGGTTGTGTAATATCACATTGTACGATGTACATCGATTTTGCGAACAAAATTACATCCATTGATGTAATATTGTATCTGCTTTTTGCTATTACATCATTATTCCATACATCAGCTTGAATTACGTTGATCGATATTACATTTTTTTTTGCTGTGTACACTCTTAGGTACGATTTCCTAAAATTATCGGTATTTTTTACCAATAAAAATCGTTAGTTTTTACTTTAAATCTGGAGGTTCGGATTTTGACCCCTCCCTTTCCCTCTCCTAGGACCAGTAGAAAATGCAACAAAGTACGCCCTGCAGTTAGTGTCAAAAAGCACAGTGAAGGATACATTTATTCATATAAACAGGCAGCTATTACCGAGCATAGAGATTGCTGACGTTTATCGTTCGCACCCTACGTCAAGTATACGTATACGCAAAATGTTTTCATCGGGAAAAAAAAAACTTCATAGCGGAAAATTTTCCCGATGAAAACAAATCACTGACACAATCATACTTTAGCCATCTCTATCATGGTGGGTATATACATGGTGATACAGCTTCGTCACTATATGGGCGAGGAGATCGCGGGGGGGGGGGGGGGGGGAAGTGCGGTTTTAGTGCAAATTGTAAACAAACTCGGTCGCTGTCCCATACAAAAATCCAACATGGCTGAATCATGAGTTTGACACATTAGAACACCTATTTGTAGTCACCTTGATCTCTATATAGATTACTGACGTTTATCGTACACACACTACGTTGAGCGACGTCACGTATATGTATACGCATATGTTTTCATTAGGAAAAGTTTCACTCATGGCGAAATATTTTCCTGATGAAAACAAATCACTGACAATCGCACAGGTAACAGTAGCAGCCAAAAGTTTGAAATCATTTGAAATTTAACACAATACGACATTATGCATTGTTTGTCGAGTTTAAAAATATAAATAACGGTTGCTCACTCAGTAAACGCGTTCGCGACCACGCCACCACTTGGGTTTTGTTTATGTTTTCAAGCTGTCATTTTTCGATGCACGAAACCGGTCACTCATTGCACTTTATGTTTTGATAAGTGCATTCTACTAGTGTGAGCACCATCGGCAAATCGAAGCAAAATATAAACATGATTACTAAAACAAAACGAACGCCAGCGAGGAGATGTAGCAACATAATAAGCTCAAACCCCTCAGCAGTCAGTCGTGTAGCAAACGACAATCGAGTGGGTAGTAAATTAAATTTTAACGCCAGCGAGCTTCAATTACCGGTATAGCGTGACCTTTACCCGGAATTGCCGTACTGCTTCGTTGTGGCGAGTTTAAATCCGTTGACCTGATCGAGCGACAATCTAAAATCAGTATCAGTACTAGTAGTAGTCAGTGTCGGTCGAGACGTTGCTGAGGTCAGTTTGTTGAATAGCTGTTGCGCGCAAAATCCGTGGAACAATGGCCGGCGAAACGAATTCGGGTATCGAGAAGCTGCTCAAGCTTGATCCGTACCTTAATTTGCACGAAAAGGAAATCAGACGCAGGTGAGTCTTGAGTCTGTATTGGTCTCGAATGCAGTAATTCGGTAGACCGGAAAGAAAATGAAATTGGATCCCTCGGTCTCCTTCATAGTGTAATTTGAGATATTTATTTCGTGAGTATTTTGTATAAGTGAGCGTAGAGCCACAATCAACTGCTTACTTACTTTGGAGATTAAATTTTATAGAATAATAATGAATTAATGGAGTTATTTAGACTGAACATCCATTTAAAATGCCTTTCAAAAGAACGAATGTCAATCCAAGGTCATAGCCGGCTGCAGAAATAAAGAAGAGCACAAATGAAGATCATGAACCATTTTTCCGCATCATGCATGTTCCTTCCATTACGAGCGGCGATAAGCCGTTGATTGTCTGGTGTGCATTATCAGAGTATGAAGAAAACGACCTAATCAATGGTGTTTTTGTTTGAAATTGTTATGCAACTGTTGGCACCGGGAAGCGAAGCTGCAGTGAAGCGAGCATATTATAAAATTTGATTTAATTTGTTTATTTTTCAGAAATAACGAACTTTGCAACTGGATTAACAAACTGAATCAGCTGGAGGGAGGGCTAGAAGAGTTCACGCAAGGTTACAAATACTATGGACTGCACATTGCTTCCGACAACAGCGTGGTGGCACGTGAATGGGCACCCGGTGCGCAGCAGCTCTATCTTACCGGTGATTTCAGTAAGTATGGAATTTCCTAATTAAGGATTTAATTTAATTGAACCCGAAAATCACTGACATACTGCTACGTGGTTTATATACAACCTTATTAGGGACCGTCCATAAATAACGTAGTGTATTTGGACCATACCATAATTTATACATGGAACGTCACAACTTTTGAACCCCCCTCCCACCTAAAATGCTACACCATTTATGGATGTTCCCTTACACCTTTGACAACGTGAATAATTTGCAATTGGATGCCATTTTTTTTTTCTCCAGACAACTGGCAATGGGAAGCAACCCCGTACAAGAAGCTTCCGTTCGGCAAATGGGAACTGACACTGCCTCCGAATTCAGATGGATCCTGCCCGATCAAGCATCTCTCGGAGATCAAGGTGATCGTTCGCAAGCAGGATGGCCAGCTGGTTGATCGCTTGTCACCGTGGGCCAAATATGTGGTTAAACCTCCGAAAGAGTTGGGCGTCAACTATCAGCAGCGTGTGTATCACCCTCCAGCGCATGACAAGTACATCTTCCGCCATAAGAAGCCGGCCAAACCACGCGCCTTGCGCATCTACGAGTGTCACGTGGGAATTGCCACTGCAGAACTCGGCGTTGGAACGTACAGAAATTTTGCCGACAATGTTGTTCCACGGATCAAGAACTTGGGCTACAACACCATCCAATTGATGGCAGTCATGGAGCATGCGTACTATGCCAGTTTTGGATATCAAATAACGAGTTTCTTTGCTGCATCTAGCCGCTGTGGATATCCGGATGAGCTGAAGTACCTGGTTGACAAGGCTCACGAGGCCGGACTGTTTGTACTGTTGGATGTGGTTCATTCGCATGCCAGTAAGAACACTCAGGATGGTTTGAACCAATTCGATGGCACAAATTCTTGTTATTTCCACGATGGATCACGGGGTGAACATTCACTTTGGGATAGCCGTCTGTTCAATTACTCCGAGTAAGTTTGAATACAGTAGTTTAAGTTCCAAATCTAGAATGTAAAGTTTGAATTTTTCAGATACGAGGTTCTCCGTTTCTTGTTGTCCAATCTACGCTGGTGGCACGACGAGTACAACTTTGATGGATATCGATTTGACGGTGTCACGTCTATGTTGTACCATTCACGTGGCATCGGGGAAGGTTTCTCCGGTGATTATAACGAATACTTTGGATTGAACGTCGATACCGAAGCACTGATCTATTTGGCTATCGCAAATAAATTCCTGCATGAATTGGATCCCAATGTGGTCACCATTGCAGAGGACGTAAGTGGCATGCCAACCTTGTGCCGTCCCACCGATGAAGGTGGCATCGGGTTTGATTATCGCCTAGGAATGGCCATCCCGGATAAGTGGATTGAACTTCTCAAAACGAAGAAGGATGAAGATTGGAACATTGGCAACTTGGTACACACTTTAACGAATCGTCGTTGGATGGAGAACACCGTGGCGTACGCGGAGTCTCATGACCAAGCCCTGGTCGGCGATAAGACGATCGCATTCTGGTTAATGGATAAGGACATGTACACGCATATGTCAGTCGTCTCCGAACCAAATATGATCATCGATCGTGGACTAGCACTGCATAAGATGATACGCTTAATCACGCACGGTTTGGGTGGTGAAGCTTACTTAAACTTCATTGGCAACGAGTTTGGTCATCCGGAGTGGCTCGATTTCCCGAGAGTCGGAAACAACGAATCCTACCACTATGCTCGCCGTCAGTGGCACTTGGTAGATGATCAGTTGTTGAAGTACCGATTCCTGAACGAGTTCGATCGTGCCATGAATCTTACCGAGGACAAGTATCACTGGTTGGATTGCCTTCCAGGGTACGTGAGCTGGAAGCACGAAGATGACAAGGTGATCGCCTTCGAGCGCAATAATTTGCTGTTCATATTCAATTTCCATTACTGCAAAAGTTTCACCGACTACCGCATTGGAGTGGAACTGGCTGGCAAGTACAAAATCGTTCTCAGCACCGATGATAAAGAATTCGGAGGTTTCGACAGAATCGATAAGAATGTTGAACATCAAACATTCCCGGAAGGATGGGCTGGTCGACGGAACTACATGCAGCTGTATATTCCATGCAGGGTGGCGATTGTCTTGGCTTCGATCGGACAATAATAAGTACAATATTTAGAACGCTTAAAAATGTCTCAAGGAGAATAGAAGGAGATCGAGATTATATCGTTGGCCATTATACTTTTTTGTTTGTTTTTTGTTTAGATGTATATTTCTATAAACTTGTTACTGGCACAGCTAGCGCGGCTGTGAGCATGCATATCGAGCAATAAATTATATGTAAAATATTGGAATGCGTAGCGTATGTATTTGTATTGTATCCGAATTTGACGAAATTAGGGGAACGGTTAGTCAGTAAATATATATAGGGCGGTATTACCGGTTTAGAAAACTAACTGCGATGGTCGATTTTCTTAATCAATTTTTTCTTTAGTTGATTACTCGACTGGACTAACATTTCAAGATGTGTTTGATGTTGCTTTTGCTAGCTAATACAAACGGTCACTACACTATATTGTAATAATTTCGGAAAACTGGTTCACTGAACTGTGGTAATGCGAAGAGAAACTCGATGAAGATAATCGATCATCACAGCTAGACCCTTATGATTCTGAACGCTAGGGCGTAGTAAATAATATACTGCATGTAGTGCTTTTTCTAGAACGAACAGAACGAGAATATTAGAAGGTTAGCTCTTGTCTATCACAGAGGAGAATGACATGAGGAGTATGCCCGAATATATTCCGGGTATCCCCGGGGAAGTGGTAAAACATTTTTAATTAAAAATTCATCATGCGACACATCAAATCACATGAGAATTCAGAGTCATAACCATTGGTTGTCATATTGAGGATCGTAAGAACTATATTGACCACATCCGGACATGTGTCGTGTCGCTATGATTATTTTTTTTTGCAATTTGATAAAATTGTAGTTTTTCTCCAGTCCATTGATTTGAAAGGTTCATGCGAGTTAATTTCACGGAGCCGTAAATTGTAGTTTTATCATAATTTTAATATTAGCATAAAATAAAATAGTAATTTTAAATTCGCTTTTGTAATGCTAAGGTAAATAGTTTGCTTTGAGTGTAAAGTTAATTTATAAGAAAGTTCTAACTGTTTTTTTTTGCACTTCGAAACTTGACGGGTCATACCTCTAACATAGTAGCAGTGACAGTGTCGCATGTCCTAACAACAACTGCCTGCGACTAGTGTTCGAGGGGCCGACAGGGCTGAATACGGGTCAATACTAACAAAACTCTAACACTAACATGACCCCGAAACTAACGTTCATCCATTGCACTAATAGTTATAATGTAGTTGTACTTTCCTAATAACCCATCTATCACAGACAAACAGACATAACACTCGGTTGGACAAGTTGTTCATCGAATACGCATTTGACGGTCAATTCGGGTGTTTTTGGTTGGTGGTGCCGCCATCTGTGGCGCGCACGGTCGGTTCCCTTGCGTTTGACGTCTGCACACTAGCGCCATCTGTTCAGCGTACTATCCATCACATGATACTGCCCAACAAACAATTGCCTATTGAAGAAACGACTTCTTGACGATTTTATTCCACTTCATGCTTAATAATACTTGTACTATTTTTAATAATAACTTCTGTTCAGGCTTTGTTCACACAAATCTGGAGAATTTATTCAACCACAACATCGAAATATTTGGTGTTGAATAAGGTATGTCGAGAAGCTTTTATTCGACTTACAAAAGTTGTAACAGAGCTTATTCGATCAAAGTTTTGATTATTCAGCGTTTATTAGACCATCTGTACTTCCTTAAACAGCGATGGTAAGGTATATATTATTATAGACGCTTGATTCTCATGTGAAATAATGTTTAATTATTACATCATTATACATTTATTAAACGATTATTCAACTACGGGATAATTAATCCGAAAATAAGAATGGCCGGAGCAGGGTTGTTTTCCGTTAGTGATTGTTGTGTCCAGTGGTGGCACGAGTCCTGGAGTTTAACATTTTTTCCATAACATTTGATACATTTTGCCATAACCATTGTGACGACACACAAAAACAAACTGGCAAGCGGCAAAAATGTCATGACATTTCTAAACTGTTTTCTGCCAGCGACAGAACATTTTCGCACAAAGAAGCAGACAAGACCGGCGGCGCGCGCGACATAAATTTATGTCGTGTAGAATTTTGCTGATTTCTGGCTAATTACTGCATTTATTTGATGTTTATTGCATGGAATTAAAAGATAAGAATGAAGACTAATCACTCATAAGCATTGATGTTAAAATTATGCGTAAATAAGGGAGTTGGTAATTTACTGTCACACGCAAGCCTGCAGCTAAAATTTCATTACAATAAACTGTTTGGAAAAATCAGGCTGCGAGATTTTATTTATTCTCTATCTCCGCTGTTCGCTTGGAATGTAGTTATACACGGTCGCCCGTGTGCTGGCTGTTTTGTTTCGCTCTGGACGATGGTTTTTCAAAAAATGTACTGTTGCCACCTCTGGTTGTGTCATTATTTCTGTCGAACTTATTACATACAAACATACAAATGGGATTCGAACCATGACCTTCCGATCACCAGCCGCTTGCCTTGCCATCTGAGCTATCCTAGAATACATCATATGAGCAGCTAAATAAGCAATAAAAGCTTGAATCTGAAAACCTATCAGCACTTCCAGCCGTAGCTCTAGCTAATTCAAGGAGATGTGAGAATGATTAATTCATTCATAGTTGTTTAACATTAGACCAACGTTACCTCTCCATCTATCTAATTTCGATGGAAAGGATGCTATTCTTTTCTATAAATCTATGAATTGGTTGTCGTGAGTGATACGATTTATGATTACGATTTAAATTAATTAGGAGTAGAACATAAATAAAAAAAGGGTTGAGGCTGGGATTGAACTCGCGACCTTCTACTTGGAAAGCGGAAACGGTAACCACTATGCTACCAATTTCGTTGTGTTGTTAGCCTGAAGAACTGTTGTGGAATAATGAATGAATACGCCGTTTGTAAAGCATTTATAAAGCATGCAATTAAAACATGGACGCATAGTGGTATAAGAGCTATTATGCTGACTGTATTCACCTTTATTCAGCAATAAAGTTAAGCAATGCAATGGAATCTAATAATGGAGCTAGAAAACAACTATTGGACTATAATAAAGCATGCTATTAAATCAATTGAAAACAGTCGAAGTAAAGCGTCAATGTATGTGCAAATTACACTTATTCAGTATGTTATTAGATCAAACTTCTGGTGTTGAATCAGGAAGACAGTCATCGTTTGTATAGATTTTAATGATGGGTAAATGTAACCAATACTAATACCTTTCTCTCTGTTCTTTTATTCGTTTTCTATATCCCTTCACCATCACCCCATATCCCATCATTTTGACGAGAGATGAGTTACTTGCATGGTGCATGCCCAAGTCGTACTACAGGATAATATGCTGAGCGTGGTTCTATCACAAATCGATAGAACTGAGGAATATTGAGTTAAATTCTACACAGTAATTTAAAGGAGCCAACTCTAAGCAGGTAATAATAGCAATTAATAATCAAACAACCATCAAAAGGTAAGAATGAATTTATTTATTTTAAATACAGTAATGATCCGATTTTGTCAGCCCCTCCGCGCTTCAGATTTTTTTCTTTCAATAATTTCACATAATTATAAATCTAAATTTTTCTCATTCGTCATTCGTTAAGAGGGATATTTAAAGTATACTTTGGTGCAATAGGTTCAAGAAGATTACTGAAAAAGGGCATGGGTTTTGTAGAACATTGGAAAACAGTTTCAAAAAAGGGGGTTGACAAAATAGGGGGAAAAAAAATGGTTTCCAAGGATTCGACTAACTATGTGATGGTAAAATCTTAATAAAATATTCATTTTATTAAATTACTATATTATACTGTCATTACTGTTAACACTATCATTGCAACTAATTTAATTAGGCATATTCAATTGACCTGCATCGGGTTATTATTTTGCATGTAATGATATGGGAAAAGGGGGGACTCACGATTCAGCATGGAGAGTGTATGGGAGCCGTTCTAGGGGTTGGTTGGGGCATGTGGTTCATTTTAGACATTATAGTCTGACGTGAGAACCATGTTCCACTCAAGTTCTGGAATTTGGCCTTGAGACTTGAGATCTGGCCTTCATAAGACCCCCTTCTGTCTCGCAAAATCAAAATCAAAATCAAAATCAAAATATGATAGTATGCATCTGTGTTTACCAAACAATTTTGGAAAAATATCGTGAAATTTTTATTTTATCGCCAAAATCTGAGCGGGACTGACTTGCGATTACATTAAACGTCAATGAGAAAAATAACCGCAAGTCAGTCACAATGCCATGACGATGCTGCATTAGTTTAGCACGGATTTAACAGTAGAAACACAGACAAACAGACGTAACTCTTCATTGTGTATCTTCGTTCATGCATTTAACGGTTGTTTTGAATATTATCAGTTGCGCGAACTACTCGCCGCAGCGCTGGCATCGGATCATTTTGACGTTTCTATACATTCTAAAGAACTTTTATGCAATATTGTTTGGGAGCTAGCGAGCAAGCTTGTTTTCCGCGAGAAGCCTGAGAGATGTCGTTACTGAGGTCATATGTTTTGAGATACTATGTTTTCAAGAAAAACATTTTCAAAGAGTTACGTCTGTTTGTCTGTGGTAGAAAGATACTATGGTCTCATAGTACGTTATTGAATGTTTCTGGATTTGTTCCGTTGGTTCCAGAGCAATGGCCGGAACATATTCCGGTGAGTATGGGTCTTCATCAGACCAGAGCTTTTCATAAACGTGCCAAACTTGCGGTTACTTTTCGATGTGGGACAATTTGACTTGGTATTGTTTTTCATTTTTCTTGAACAAACCACCTTTTTTCAATAGCACATCTCAAAAAACATAGAAAGATAAACTGAATAATGATGCCAACTCAAAATTTATAAAAATGCAGATGGGACTCACTTGCCATTGCCGACAGTATATTCGTTATAAGTCAGGTAACACAGTAGGGGGAGGGGACAGAATCTGTCTTGAGTCAAATATCATGATGCGATATGTTGTCTAACATTCTTAATTTAATAGAAGCAAGCCTAAACACATAGCTGTGACGTTGTTTTATAGTTTATTTAATGGGACTGACTTGCGGTTACTTTTCGATGTGGGACAATTTGACTTGGTATTGTTTTTCATTTGTCTCAGAATAACTACCCTTTTCCAACAGCACAGCTCAAAAAACAAAGAAAGATAA